TCAGATGTCGCCTCATTGCTAATGTTACCCTGCCACTGCCCCACCCCCCACCATGAGCTTCTAACAGCCTGTGTACACTCTTCATAGCACTTACCTAAACTGTGAGTAGGTTAATTACATAACAACCTGCTTAATGCCTGGTGAGTGCTGAAGGCAGGGAGCCCTCACAGGATTTCTAGTACTTAGCACTGGGCCTGGCATTTAGCTGGCCCTTAGTAAATGCTTGCTGAATGAATGGAACTGGATAAGGGGAATGAGTTGAGGTTGGGAACAAAGGGAAAGAGGTGACTCACCGTAAGCGCTGTCTGACCCCAAACCAAGAATACCCCATGAGAAGCTGATGACTCTAATGCCTCCTGATGCCCCATTTTCTCTGTAACTGTATCATATTACCTGCTGGCTTCCCCAGGTAATATGATCTTTGAAATGGTCTTTACATAATTTGTAAGGTCAGTGTGTGAGTCCCCCTGGGCTCACTGTGGGATGTTTGTGTTACTGTACAGATGGAGAATTACCAAATGATATGTACCCATGCAGCTGTCTGCTCCCTTAAAATATACACGAGTAACTTGCCAGGGGTAGGGGGACAATTATTTTCTCCAGCTGATAGTACAGTTGGTAGAAGCACATATCCATTGGCTAAAAACTAAAGTGGCTTTAATTCAGTCTGGCTTTGAAGGTTTCTTATTAGGAACTCCAATTGGTTTTCCTAAGCTAAATGTAAAACTTGCAATATATTTTCTCATCAAACACTAATTAACACTATTAAAATATATAATACCGAAGGTATTGGATGATTTTGGGAGCTCCACGAATTTAATATTTGGATGGAAACATGGTTTTAGTAATGTCTTAAGAGTACTTTGAGCCTCTCCTTCAGCATCACTCGGGCTTGACAGTTTTACATCCCTTCTTAATTAGCTTATAGAGAGATATTTGCTTCAAGTCATGTACCCAAATAATAAAGGTCTTTGTTGCCATATTTAGAAGACTGTGTCCAACATAAATTCCATTCCCAAATCTCTTTCTCATAATGAACTTCTATTGACATAATGAGTTCCTTGGAAGGAAGGCATTGTGTGAATTAAAAATACTAATGAGTCATAATGAACTGTTTTCCTTATTACTGGGAGCAGGACTAACCTTGGGCACATTTTCTAGTAACTGAAAGTGCTTTCTGTACACCCAGGCCTGCCCTCTCAGGAGCTTGTACTCTAACATGTCTTCTCCTTTTTTTTCACTCATCAAAACACTGAATCCCTCAAATGTCCCTGATCCTAGCTAGTCAGTCTTAGAGAAAAGGAAGTTACTGGACTGGTTCACACTGAGATGTGAAAGACCAAAAACAGCATTAGCCATCTCTAATGACGCCCTGCCTGCATCTTTCCAGGGATATTCTTATTATAAAAGCTAAGCAGCTTAGCACTGAAAAACTGGAGAACTTTCTAGCTAAGATAAGCTGAGTGTCTCAGGGAATTGCCTAATTAAAAGTAACAAGAACCACTCAAGATGTCTAAACAAACGTAATTTATTGGTGGGATACAAGGGCAGCCCTCACAGAACTCAGTGGAAGAGGCACAGCTGGGCCTTTGGAGGGCTAGGGACAGGACAAGACAGCTGTGAGGAACTGGGTAAACTTTTTCTGCTTTCCTGGGACTGCTGTCCACAGACTGTCATCACCTGCCACACCCTCTCCCCCCCTGCCCCTGCTCTCTCTGCATTTCCATGCACATGAGCCAAATATGGCTGCCACTGAGCCAACCTGCCCTCAGATCAAGGGTCCTGTTTCCACACTCTTGGGGGGAGGGTTGGACTGGCACAGCTTGGGTCAGGTGTCACCCCTAAGTCAGTCTACTCTGCTTATGGGGTCCAGGCCATAAATGACAAACATAGTACCTGGCCCAGGGTAACAATTCAGTTACATGTTTGTTATAAAGAGAATGGGGACCACCCCTAAGGGGAGGGAATGGGACACATCTCCAAAAGTCTATACACCAAGCCCTAATACTTCTTGGTTAATTCGGTGGGGAACCTAGAGCTTTGGGGCTGGAGAGTGACACTGGCTTGTGTTAACAGGCTCCTTGGAGCTGGGCAAGGAGCTCCCAGCACCAAGTTCACCTAAGGGGACGATTTGCCACCAGGAGGCTGTGTTCCGACTCCTTGGCCCTGGTGTCAGTTGGGACTCAGCGTGGTTTAATGACAAGAAAAGGGAGATTTGCCATCTGTTTTCTACTTTGTATGGATTTGCTGGGAACTTGGATAAGTGACTGAGTCTCTTTGGGATTCTTTTAATTCTAGTTCTCTTCATAAAAATTATACACACACGCGCGCATATAGCTTAAATACTTGTACATTATTATTCTAGCAGATTATTATTGTGTTTCCCTTTGCTGGCCTGAAAAGACTCTGAGGGTACACAGGAAGGACCTCAGAAAGCTGGCTGGGAGGTTGGAGGATTATAAATTGCTTGTAGCCAGAGAGATGCATCAACTCCTTCTCTGGGAGGAGAAATGCTTGCTCCATGTGGAGAGTTACATATGTCCTTCAGGATGGTAAAGCAGATGACGTAGGAGGGAAAAAGTGTAAAGACATAGGATGCCTCAGATCTGCTCCTTTGGGAGGTGGGTGGGCACAGGGAGAAGGATGGTGAAGGGCCCTTTTTGTGGACTTGGAAGGAGGGAGATTTTAAAAAGGTAGAAAAGCCCCTGGAAGGCCTGTTGTTAAAGGCCCTGCTGTTATTTGTCCAGGAGTTTTTAGAGAGCACCTACCAGCTGGCTGTGCCCTAGAGGGGAGTGTTTAGTGGGGCTGAGTGGCCGGGCTAATCTTCCTGTAGGTCACGCTGTTAACATCTCAATCCATAAAGCATATTCTCTCTCAAAGAGGCTGAAGCAGGAAACAAAGCGGGGAGGGGTGGTGCAGAGGGGCGGATTGGCGGGTGAGCAAGCCCAGACTTCAGCTTCCCAGGGCTCCCTGGCCCAGGCCCTGTGGCTTGGGGCCGGGGGCAGCGTGGCCTCTCCAAGGAGGAGGCTGCGGGGCTGCTGAGTGAGACCTGCTTTGAGCTTTCATTGCCTTTACTCAGAGGAGTCATTTATGACAACATGTCATAGCAGGCTGATGGGGCAGACAGCTTTTGGCAGAAGTCCTTCCTACTTTTCACAAATTAAATCACAGAGAAAACCACCAGCAGTGACTACAAAGGAAGTGTTCAAGGCCACTGGGTAGAGGTGAACGGCTGTTAGAGAAAAAGCGTTCACAAGAGTGAAAAAATCCACAGATACTAACATGGCAGGCCAAAAATTAATTGGGCCATGGACAACTAAGAATACTGTCTGGGACAAGAGTCACAATGCAGTTACAATTAATAATAATACAGAACGAAATGACAACAACCAATGTGCACGGAGAGTTTTCCAATGTACACATACATTCTTATTTCTCCACAAAACCTTCTGACGCTAGGAGGGGGTGGATAGCCAGCTATTATCTCCCTTTCACAAGTAAAAAATTCAAGGCCAAAAATACTGCATCAACTTGCCCAAGGTAACATCATTGGTAGGTGCCAGAGTCAGGGCTCAAATCAAGGCTCTCGGCTCTCCCCAGTGCCCTTTCCGTGTTGCAGGCTGCTCCTTTGAGCTTGTGTACAGGCCCATGGCACAACAGGGCCACCACGTGGGCAGGGAGCAAAACCATGGGCAGAGTTGGTCAAGCAGAACCTCCCAGTGGTCCAGAAAAGAGCCCAGGGCCCTTTCATTTGGAACGCCTCACCTCACATTGAGTAAGGGGCTTTCATTAAACACCCCTCCTTAAAACAAGGTAATATATGTTTTAAAAATGCAGATAGGCATAAGACCGTAGAAATAAGAATTCTACCACTCAGAGATAAGTGTTTTTATCATTTTAGGGCACCAAAGTGGCATCCTTGCAGATATTTTCTCTTTAGTTTGGCCCATCTCTCCTCAGAAAATGGAATTGTTGTTCCTGCCATTTTGTAACTTCTCATTCCATATATTGTGAACGTCTTTCCACTCCAAATATACTTCAACAGTATTTTTCTCATTTCATTAAAAATGTTATATATGTTTTATGATTGTAGGAAAATCATAAAATTATATATATGCTCATTGTAAAAATATTCAAATTCAACAGTACAGAAATGTACAGCAAAAGGAGCAAATATATTAACGCCACCCTTGGGACATAAGCGGTGTTGCTAAATTCCGTATTTCCTAGTCATACTTTCATGCACATAGTAGATATAATGTGTAGAACGTATGTGTGCATATACCTTTGTCCCCAACAAAGTGGGCTCATAGACTGTGATTTGTTTTCTACCTCCCTGTAGTGTGGTCATATTTTCTTCTCAGTACATGAGGTTCTACGGCATCTTTGTTCTAATCCTGGGGAAAGGAAAACCTGGGGAGACTGGAGAAGGAACAAAATAGTAAGCAATAGCAACCCAGGGCTAGTTGTAGCATTTGGATTTGAAAATCCTCCAAGAGGAAGGAGACTGCAGCTCAGGTAGCTACTTGCCACTCATCTGGAGGATGGAGGTAAATGGCCACACACACTCCCCTCGCCTCCAGGGCCACCTGAGAGGAGGGTACCATGGTACCAGATAGCTCCACTCCACAGTCATGAATGCTCTGAGCCTCCTCAGGTATATAGAGTCTCATGACCAGCCTGATCCCTGTGTTGGAGAAAACGTGATTCTAGAGTGGTGAGTTGACTTTTGGGCTGTGTTGTACGTAAGTGACTTTGCTCCAGTGGGAAGTCAGTGGTCCTACATTTGCTGCCCCAGCTGTCCTAAGGAGGCTATTCTATCCACATCCACAGGGTAAAACAAATTCTGGCCACTGGGCCCACGGGCCTTCTGTTTAATAACCTGAAATTAAGCAGTGGTGCCCCAGCCTGGGTAGAGTCCAGGTGGGTCTAAGGAGGAGCTGAGAAAGCCTGGGAGGGATCCAGGTCAAGGTGAGGCTCAGCCTGGTATTTCTTCCCAGGACACATGCTCGTGAGGACACTCGCTCTGTGTGGATGCATAGACTGGGACACCTGAATGCTCACCCTGGAAGTCAAGAGTTCCTGGAAGCCACTCCAAATCCTGCCCCTCTGTCCTCAGGAGCACCTCCACCTCCCCTCTTCCTGCCTGTTGTTGTGGCTGGGTGGCTACTCCCCACACATGGCTCATAAATTCCCTGTGAAATAGGAGGCAGAACCAATGCAAAGAGCCATGTTAAAGACCCAGCCATCACTGCAGCCTCTTCTCTAAGAGCTGTGTCATCCAAGAGCTGGCAAAATATTGGGAAAGGGAGGCTTCTGAAGAGCAGGGGTGGCTGTGGGCATTCAGGTCAGGGCTGTGGGTGCATTTCCTAGAGAACATGATGCTAAATGGGAAGGGACAAGCTAATGGAGCCTGTTCTCTCCTAATGGGTTGAAATTGTGGCAGGCAGGTAGACAGACATGAGCAGAGGAAGGATGATGGGCCAGGGACAGAAAGTCACCAGGGTGGAAAGCCCTGGATGCCTAGCAAAGGACAACTGTAGGATGGGACCTTTCCTCCCCTAGCATACCCTGGTCATGCGGTTTGGACCCTCTGACCTTTCCTCCCTAGAGATAACATTTAGACCTCAGTTGTATTTCAGCTCCAGGCCCAGAAAAGCAACAAAACCAGCCACAGCTGACCTCAGGACCAATGACACTGAATAACTGCCCTGGTGCCAGTCAATCAATCAGTGAAGACCTAGACCCTGGAAAGCTGCTGAATATTATATTGAGATCTTCCCCTGGGACCTCCCTTAAAATCCCCACCTTAAAATCCTTAGAATGGAGGACCCAGTGCCCTCTCCCTCCCAGGAGCATGCTGACCCGTTTCCTTTTCCCTTTTCCTCCCTTGCCCCACCAGGCTAGTTACCTTCCTCATTACCTTCCTCACTCCCAAGCTGCTAGGGCCCTTCCTTTGCCTTCCACTTCTGTGATTTTATAAATAAATGTTCTTGTATAGTTGGGGTCTTGGCTCTGAATTCTTTCCCAACCCAAACTCAGGTACTGAGGTTGCTAAACCCAGGTTTGGTCTGACCCCACCGGCCTAACACCCAGTGCAGTTCCTCGCCACCCACAACAAATTCCCTGTCAGGGCCTGTGCGGGGAGGCAACCAATTGATATTTCTCTCACATATCAATGTTTCTGTCTCTCCCTCTCCCTTTCTCTCTCTCTCAAAAAAAATTAATTTAAAAAAAGAGAACCAATGAATGCATAAATAAGTGGAACAACAAATCGATGTTTCTCTCTCTAAAATAAATTTTAAAAATGTATAAGAAATTATATAAATCAGAGAAATCAGGAAGAAGGTAGTTTAAGCTGTCTTCTCTCTGCTATGGTGGGCAGAATAACCACCCCCACCCCCAAATGTTCATGTCCTAATTCTTGGAACCTGAGACTATGTCACCTTCATATGCAAAAAAGGACGTTGCAGAAGTGATTAAGGTAAGGCTATTGAGAAGGGGACAGTATCCTGGATTATCCATGTGGGCCCAGTGTACTATAAGGTGACATCATCATAAGAGGAGGCAGGAGGGCCAGAGCCAGAGGTGATGTGACAATAGACACAGAGGTCGTTGGGTTGGTGCAGCCACAAACCAAGGAATGCAAATGGCCTTTAGATGCTGGAATATGTGAGGAATGGCTCTCCCCTAAAACCTCCGGAAGGAACAGAGCTCTGCTAACATTTTGATTTTAGCCCCATAAGACCCATTTCAGACCTCTGACTTCCAGAACTACAAGAGAATATATCTATGCTGTTTTATGCTATTAAGTTTGTCATTTCTTCCAATAGAAAACTACTACACTGCTTGACAGAGAAAAGGAATGAGAGGGTATTACAAACTTTTGTTTATAAATTTCCATTATATTTATTGCAGAAAACAGTCTCCTCAAGAGGAATGTTGGTTCAGAAATTGAATACCAATGATCTACAGTCAGAAAGGACAGCCTTTAATGGAAATATGGTCTATGCACAAAACAAAGTAAGGTGGTTTTCTCCAGACTGCATTTTATTAATGTGTCACATGGGCTTTTTTCCAAGAAAGGCTTATTCTGGGAAATGCATTAATTTGGACCTTAGGAATTTACAGCAGCACCTGAAAATGCTCCCTGTCTAGGAGAGAAATCTCTCTCAGCAGCAGAGCACAGCTCTACTCAGACTGGGGTGGTCCTTCACTGTGTTCCCGGGGAAGCCACCAAAGCTGCCACCTCTCTTCTTGGTGTTCCTCAGACCTACAAAGAAAATGGTGAGAGCTGGTGACCACCAAACAGAAGCCTGGCAGAGGTATCCTTGCCCTGCACAGCTCGGAGGGAATAAGGACCCTGGGAGGTCCCTCCTCTTGGAGGGCCAGGCAGATGCCACAGGAACAGCTCTGGGCTCCTCGGGCTACCTCTGAAGGGCACACGCATTCAGTTCTGAAGAATGAAAGGGCCTGTTCTTCACAGAAAGTGTGCTGCTGTCCCACACCTCAGCTTACTGCAGTTATTTTTAAAAGCTTGCTAGTAACTCCCACATGCACAGTTCTTCCTTCTGTTCACCTGGTGGGCTACTGTTTGTGAGCCGCCAGCTCCAGCCGCTCCCCGCGAGCCGGCGGTGTCTGCCTCTGGAGGAAGGGCTGGCCCACGCACCGCGGCTACATCACGCCTTTGCTCACTGACACCCCAGACCAAACACTGCAGGATTACTTCTCATGACTCAAAATCCTGATGTTTGAGGTATCTGAGTTCGTTACAGCTTTCCTAGGGGACACGGGAACAAAGCACCTGCTCATCCTAAACAAGGCCCAGTTAGAATTCTTTGAAGAGCATGTCAAACTGCCCTGAGACTGGGCAACGGCTCAGTGCAGCTGAGGTTTAAGTGGAGGTCTTTAGTGATTTAATTGAAAATGTGCAACTGATATGTTCTCTAAGCATCATCAACATGTTTCCTACACTCTGAAGCAGGGGTTAGTT